ATTTTTAGTAGAGACAGGGTTTCACCATGTTGACCAGGATGGTCTCGATCTCTTGACCTCGTGATCCACCCGCCTCGGCCTCCCAAAGTGCTGGGATTACAGGCGTGAGCCACCACGCCCGGCCTGAAACCAGAAGTCTCATACTGTGCCGATGGGAGTGTACATTGCTACAACTGTTGTACTGGATCGAGCGTAGAAAGTTAGCACCAAGACAAAAGTATGCCAGATTGCAGGGTCATTTATTATGCCGGCGACCACAGAGGTCTCACGTCTCTCCAACCTGTGGCGTCGAAAGGAAGGTGCCAAGACTTTTTATACACGAAAACCCACCTTGTGAGTTGGGGTGAGGAGTGGGGATGGGGATGAAAAGGTTTCAGACATTCCAAGGGCCAGGGGATTCTGTAATTCACCTCCTGGGCGGACGAGGGTGGGGGTCTCCGGACATTCCAAGGGCCAGGGGACTTTTGTCATTCTGTTTGTTACTTCAGTGGTTTACAGAAGTCAAGATAAGCATTTGTTTACACACAGATCTGAGTTATCCTGGGCTGCTTATTTTAGTTATTACCGGTAAGCAAAGGCTAGCAATTCTGGCACAATATCACACAACCACTTCAGGAAACTGGCCATATCTGCTAAAATGCAGCACATCCCCCCACCCTATAACCCAGCAATTCAACGCCTAGGTGTATATACCCAACAGAAGTGTGTATACACGTTCACCAAAAGACGCTTCCACGAATGCTCCGTTTGGTCAGGTTCGGTGGCTTATGCTTGTAATCCCAGCACTTTTGGAGGCCGAGGCAGGAGGATTGCTTGAGGCCAGGAGTTTGAGACCAGCCTGGGCAACATGGCAATAGCAAGGCCTTATCTCTACTAAAAAAAAAAAAAAAAAAAAAAAAAAGTTCTGCTGTCTCTGATGGGCTTGCTTGAAAAGAAATGTTCATAGCCACAGCAGTCATAATGTTTCCAAACATGAAACTATCCAAATGCCTGTAAATAGTACAACAAATAGTGTTGTGTTCACACAACAGAATATTATATAGAGATGAGAATGAACAAACTGTACACAAAACAACATGGATGAATTTATTTCACAAACATAATATTTTTTTCACATCTCCTTGAATTATCACAAACATAATATTGGGCAGAAGAAACTGAACCGAAAAGAATATTATGTGGCCAGATGTGGTGGCTCACATCTGTAATCCCAGCACTTTGGGAGGCCAAGGTGGGCAGATCATGAGGTCAGGAGTTCAAGACCAGCCTGGCCAACATGGTGAAACCCAATCTCTACTAAAAATACAAAAAATTAGGCCAGGTGCAGTGGCTCACGCCTATAATCCTAGCACTTTGGGAGGCCGAGGTGGGCAGATCACCTGAGGTCAGGAGTTTGAGAACAGCCTGGCCAACATGGTGAAACCCTGTTTCTACTAAAAATACAAAAATTAGTGGTACGTGGTGGTGGGTGCCTATAATCCCAGCTACTTGGGAGGCTGAGGCAGAAAATTGCTTGAACCGAGGAGAAGGAGGCTGCAGTGAGCTGAGATCGTGCCACTGCACTCCGACCCAGGCGACAGAGTGAGACTCCTCTGTCTCAAAAAAAAGAATACTACGTGATTCCACTTACATGTTAGAAATCAGGAAAAATGGTTCTCCTCAGCAGGGAAGGGATGGGAAGGGTGGGGACACTGGGAGCACTTCCTGGGGGGTTGTAATGTTCTGTTTCTTAGGCTGGGTGCTGGTTGTGCTGATGCATTTCATTTGTGAAAACTCATTGAACTGAGCATTTACAATCTGTGCACTTTACTGTAGGTGTGCTGGTCTTCCATAAAAAGTTGAAACTCTGTTTTGACATTTATGGAGCTACCGTTTGGGTAAATTGAAGCTGTGTGTCACTGATTAAACTCTCTTGGCCCTGATGTTCCTTCCCCTATGCCTCCCCCTCTTCTATTCCTGGCCTCATCTAGCTCCCCACACACCCCACTGGTCTGCTTCTGATTGCACAGGATATGCAATTATATATACATATACATACATTTTAGACAGAGTGTCACCACCCAAGCTGGAGTGCAGCGGTGCCATCATAGCTCACTGTAGCCTTTATCTCCCGGCATCAAGTGATCCTCCCGTCTGAGTCTCCTGAGTAGCTGGGACCACAGCTTTTTTTTTTTTTTTTCATCTTTATTAGAGAAGAGGTCTCACTATGTCATCCATCAACATGTATTTTTGTTAGAGAAAAAAGTCCTTTAAATTTTTTCCCCACAAACTGCTGTATAGGTGGGTGTAGCCGTCGTCTGGAAGCCCTGCTTTCCCTGATGTTTTATCAGTTTGAGATTAGGTTCAGCTGTGAGTAAAGAGAAATTGCAAAGTACTAGTGGCTGAAATCAGGGATTCTTAAATTTAAGTGTGCATCAGAATCACTTGGAGGGCTTGGTAAGACTCAAACTGCGGGGCCCTCCCTCCCTCCCTCCTTCCTCCTTCTCTCCCTCTCTCTCTCTCTCCTTTTTTTCTTTCTTACATGGTCTTGCTCTGTCACCCTTATGTATGGTGGCACAATCATGGCTCACTGCAGTCTTGACCTCCTGGGCTCAAGCGATCCTCCCACCTCAGCCTCCCAAGCAGTGTGGATTACAGGTATGTGCCATCATGCGTGGCTAATTTATTTTTTGGTAGAGATGGGGTCTCCCCCTGTTGCCCAGGCTGGTCTTGAACTCCTGGACTCAAGCAATCCACCCACCTTGACCTCCCAGAATGCTGGGATTACAGGTGTAAGCCACTGTGCCTGACCAAGATTCACTTTGGTACACGTTTTACTATGCAACCTCAAGAGGCTCACAGAGCCCTGAGATTCACTGAGGAACCCCATTTAAAAATCCTTGTTATAGAGGAAATCTCCATTTCAGTGGTGGTTTTAGGAGCCCCAGGCCCTGGGACAGCAGTTTCAGGAGGTTTTCCTGAATAGCACCAACTCCGAAGTGAGGGTTCTAAGTGGGAAGACCCCTGTGGCAGTGGCATAGGTGGCTGAGATGGCACTGCAGTTTCAAGGGACCCCAGAACTGGGCTGAAGACACAGGGTAGGGTGAAGGTAAGGAGGAGAAAGTGGACAGAGGGACAAAGGGGCATGGAGCAGGAGGGGTCAGGAATGCACATGCCAAGGAACTGCATGTCAGCAGCGACCGTGTCAGGCAGGCAAGCACTGGGACACCTGCAATGTGTTCCCAGCTGGGGCGGCATCCTTGCATGAGGTCCTGTTCGAGGGGCTTCCAGGAGAGGGCCCTGGAACGCTAGTCTCCAGGTCACTGGCTTGGGCCTCGTCCTCCCTGGGAGGCGGCAGAAAGGTGGGAGTGGCCGTTTTCTTGTTTTCTTCTCTCTCTGCTGTCACCTTCCACCCCCCTCTCTGATGGATGGCACAGACTGAGTTGCAGCTAATGGCTTTTCACGGAGCCTGGAACTAATGAAGCTGCTAACAAGTACCTGGGTGAATGAGTTACTGTCTCTGCCTCACTCTCCCCCTCCCTCCCTCTCCCCTGCTGAAGGCCATGGAGGAGGCCACAGGCCGCACAGCAGCTCCTGGATACTAGAGACACAGAATGGGGATTGAAAGATGGGGCCCGTCACCCTAGGCCAGGAAGGCAGTGTGGGGGGACACAAGAGGGTGGAAGTAAACACTGGGGAGAAGCATGTGTGGAGAGGGAACTGGTGAGAATTGTGGAGAAATGTGGGGAGAAGCCAGTGGCAGAGACGTGAGCAAGAAGGAGAAGGGATATGTATCAGGTAGGGCGGGGTGGGGTGGAGCGATGGTCCCCTCTGTGGCAGGCACTGGGGCACACCCTGCCTTGTCCCTGAGGAAACCACAGTTTGGTAGGGGAGAGAGAGGCATGCAGATATAGTCACTGGTTGGTTTGAGATGGAGTATCGCTCTGTTACCCAGAATGGAGTGTCATGGCGCCATCCCAGCTCACTGCAACCTCCACCCTCTGGGTTCAAGTGATTCTCCTGCCTCAGCCTCCTGAGTAGCTGGGACTACAGGTGTGCGCCACCATGCCTGCCTAATTTTGCTGTTTTTAGTGGAGATGGACTTTCACCATGTTGACCAGACTGGTCTTGAACTCCTGACCTCAGGTGATACATCTACCTCAGCCTCCCAAAGTGCTGAGATTATAGATGTGAGCCACCATGCTCAGCCGTTTTTTTAACAGGTTCTTACTCCAATCACCCAGGCTGGAGTGCAGTGGTTTGATCCCGGCTCACTGCAGCCTTGACTTTCTGGGCTCTGATGATCCTCCTGTCTCAGCCTCCCAAGTAGCTGCTCCCAAGTAGGCACATGCTACAACACCCAGCTAATTTAAAAAATTTTTTTAGTAAAGATAAGGTTTCAATATGTTGGCCAGGCTGATCTCAAACTCCTGGGCTCAAGCAATCCGCCCACCTTGGCCTCCCAAAGTGCTAGAATTACAGGTGTGAGCCACTGCGCCCAGCCTACCCACTGTTTACGTTGTCGGAAGAAGCCTGTGACATGAGCTTTACTATTCTCTTTTTACAGTGAGGCTCAGAGAGGCCAAGCAACTGTCCCAAAGTCACACAGCTGAGAAATGTGAGTTGGATTCAAACCTGGAAACTCTGACCCTAGAATCCATACCCTTTCCACCACCCCGAGGTTTGTAAGTGCGTGGAAAGGAAAGACATGATCAGAAACAACTGAGAACAGATCGTTCTGGGTTGATCTGATTTTCCCCGTTGATGGAATTATTTGGTCGGGGATGGGGTGTTGAAAGCTCTTCGTGTCTGGACTTCAGCAAGGCACACAGCAAAATCTCTCCTGACGTCCTGCAGACATGCGATGATGTGTGGGCGAAAGGGCTCAACGGCTGGAAGAATTTCTAATTAGACAAGAGGCTGCTTCTACAGGCAGTCCAGCTGAAAGCGGGAGGTGGTGGCTTTGCGCCACGGGGCTCTGTCCTTGGTCCTGCTCTGTTGAACTTTTTTTCCCCTTATCCTCTCCCCCATATTTATTTCTAATTATCGAAGTAATGCATGTCTGCTGTAGGAAAAAAAAAAGATAACTAAGCCAAAAGAAGGAAAAAGCATCCTAACTCTCACCAGCATCACTTGCCTAACTGCGTTTTTCAATTTGCTGTAACTTTGAACATTTTTGGAATACAATGTTGGGACCCGAAATCCCACAACAAAAGAGAACCTACTGTTCACACTGAGGGCGCAGCCCGCCAGTCTCTTTATTGCAAACAATAGCAAGGAAAGGTAGCGTGTTATGGGGTGCTTACAATGAGCTGGCAACAGTCCTGAGCTTCTGTTGGGCATTATTAGTTCATTCAATTCTCCTAATCCTTTACGGGCACTTTTATGACCTGTTTTTCACAGATGACAAAACCAAAGCTCAGAGATGAAATGATTTGTTCAGGCCGCAGAGACTGGGTGAACAATTGAGGCAGGGTTTGAAGCAGGTTTTTCTGATTCTGGAGTGGGGCTTTGTGCGACTATGGACCCCCCCCTCCAAAGGTGCCCGCACGTTCACCTGGACCCATCTCTTCCACCATGCCCTCTACGAGTAAAGGGGGCTGTTGTGCAGGATGGTCCAAGTCGCCCTGTTGCTTCTCTTCTGTTTGCACGGTAGCATCTGGGGACATGACTGTTCTGTGCGGGAAATGTGTGAGGGGAGAAGAAAAGGC